CACAGAATCTGTGGATTCAGGCCAGCAGCCAATTCAGGTGCTTGGCAAGGTTGAGGGAAATGGAAGAGGAAAATGATCAATTGGATGGATGAATAGAATCCAAGAGTTTACTGGAATGTCTTAGAAAAGCTATGAGTTTTATTAAAGACATGGCAAGCTAGCAACAAATTGCTCAAACAGTTACCCAGAGGCAAACAAGATTCAGTGATCCCTAAATAACTGTGGGCCTTTCCCTACTATTACATGCTATTCATTCCTTGTGTTGGCACAAAACACAATGCCATCATTAACTTTGGTATGCCTATCACCAATTCCTACTTTGTCTCTTTTGCATCCATTCTATGCCACTGTCTGGTTGTGTCATAGGGATTTGCACATATGTCAGTCATTATAATCAGTGGTTAGTCTTCTCTGGTTAAGTTGCTATCCTCCTTCAGAAAATCACCAGGCAGTCGGAAAAATCAGCACCAACCAGGGCACTGCAGCATGAATGGGGTAGGCCTGGTTGGGGGGGATTCCTTTCTAGCCTGGCCTGCCCCTCCTGTCACATCCCATCTATACATCTCCCAAGTTAAAATATGAAATTTTGAACAGAGAAACATTAGAATAGAAACAATCGCTAAGAAGAAGGCACATTCTGCTATGATTGTACAACTAACTATGTCCTCTAAACAGGGTTAACTAAAGCTGACTAGCTGTTGTGCAAGGTGAGTAAAACCAGCCAATGACCAACAAAGGCGCAGGTTGAGGTCCCTTGTGGTTTTCAGAATCTTATTGTGAGAAAAAAGTGATTATCCCATGCCTGAAAATAAAAATACTGCTTCTAGCATAGTGCTAATCTGGTACTAAATAAATATCCCCCTTTTCTTGCTCAGATTAAATACTGGGGATCTGATCTCAGCACACCTCCCTTGTCAGAAGCCTGGAGAGAAACTGGTTTTAAACATAAAGAGAGATGGTAGCATAAGAAGAAACAAATGGGGGGGGGGTGCAAACACCAGGAGAGAAGTGGATTCAGGAGGTGATGGCTAATGGCCATGCCAAATACACACTGAACACACTTCTTCTTATGTCCACAACTCAGGATAACAGATGTCACACATTTTGCTTGCCTTGAATCTGAGTAGGATAAAATCAATTTAAGGGGGGGTATTTTTATTCTAATACATCAAAGGACAACACAAGGCTGGAGATAAAATGAACAAATTTTGGAGCAATGAATTGGAAGAGATGAGAATTGTCTGGGCAGGATCAGGAGTGCAAGCAGAAATCAGCTCCAAGAACACATCAAAACACACACCACAAATTAATACCATCACCTACTGCAATCTGACACAGGATTAAGAATGACTTCTGTAGATGAAATGCTTAGAAGCCTACCTGGTCTGAAGTAACTGCCTTTTTGCCTTAGACGTGAAATAGCCTAATATTGATCTGAGTTATTGAGACACCAAAGCCAAGCTTTATCGTGAATGGAGCAAGTAAGCCCTCTACTGCCTGTTAGGGGCATAGTCCTTAAAACAAAAAGTTCTGAAGGAAAATATTCTCAAGGCATTCGGTGCCACTTGAACGTTGTCCTTTTTTGGCCTGAAGGAAATTCCAGCTGACGGAAGTTCTGCTCTTATTCTCCCATTCGCAATGATAGCAGCTTTATTGCTACAGTCACATTTCTTGGGGCTTAAATCACACATAGAGATTGTTCTGAGTGCCTAAGCTCACATCTGCTGACAGCAAAAGGGCAGGAAAATTCCACTCTTCGGAGTCAGAAGGTGCTTATGAAACCCCAAATTAGAAAGGGAGGGAGGAAAAAAGAAAGAAAATAGTCAGAAAACTGGGAGCATAAAGGGGAGAGATGGTAGGAGTTGCATAATTACTTGAACAAATGAATTGTCCCTGAATTATTGTAGTCTTTACTTCCATCCACACAAGAAGCACAATATTGTACATATAACAAGACAGAAGAATGCATGCCATTCACATGCATGCACAGTTCCAAATATTAAACTTTGCTGCAATTCTAAATATAGAACGGAGCAGCTAATTTATATAGAGAGTAACTAAGACTTCTGAAAAAAATATTTTAAACACACTTGTTTCCTGAAAGTATAGACAGACCTTTTGACTTGCCTGGGCCACATTGAGTGAAGACAAATGATCTTGGGCCACATTTAAAATATAATCAATGTATATAAATACATTATTAGTTTACAATCCTTTGGGGCTGCATTACTAGCTGTCTAGGGCTGCATTTGGCCTTCAGGACACAGGTTGGACACACCTACTATGGACATTCCTGCAAAAGACTTCTGAATGCCTTCAGGTTCCTTGTCTTAGGCCAGTGATGGCGAACCTTTTAGAGACTGAGTGCCCAAACCGCAACCCAAAACCCACTTATTTATCGCAAAGGGCCAGGGCCACATCAGCATTGTGGTGCCCTTGGGGGGGAGAGGCACGGCCCACTGGGTGGGTGTGACTGCGGTGGTTATGGCAGACTGGATGGGTGTGGTGGCTGCGGTGGGTGTGTCCACCTTGATGTTGCTCATGGGGGGGATGCCTGTGGGGGCAGCGTTGGGGGAGATCCAGGGGGTCTGTGGTGAATGGGACTGTGGGCAGGAGGCTCGTCCTGTGGGGTGAGGCAGGGGGCAGGGCAGGGGTGCCATTGCTGCAGGGCAAGGCGAGGCGAGGCAGGGGTCGGGGCGGCTGCTGCCTGACACCACCAGCCCCCACACACAGAGGCCAGCGAGTGCATGGGGGCCAATGGTGTCCATCAGCAGCCATAGCCTGCTGGCCCCTCAACCAGCGCATTCTGGGGCTCTGGGCCAGGCCTCCAGCAGCAGGCGGAGTGGGGGAGGGAGGAGACATGTGGTGCAGACCACCGGACACCCCTACTCCGTCCCGTCTGTTTTTGCTTGCGGTTGGAGAGCAGGTCGCTGCTGGTCATCTCAGCCCCCTTGCAGATCTTGCCCTTGGCTCGCGCATGGAGTCTGCTCCCCTCACACATCCAACGCACCTTGGCCCTACCTTGGGCTGCCATGGTAGCCTAATGGACCTGCACAAGCTGCTGGTGGCGGCAGTGCGTGCCCACAGAGAGGACTCTGAGTGCCGCCTCTGGCACGCGTGCCATAGGTTCGCCACCACTGTCTTAGGCTATGGCTGTCTAGAATAAAATGTGGTCATGGGTGGTATGAAACATATAGCTTTCCAAAATAATTTTTTCATGAAAGCAAAGATGTCTATGATGTGTAGGATTATGTGGTATGGTTTGTTATGAAGTGCTGGCTAACATTAGACTAGGAATCAAGAAATCTGGCATAACTCTCTTCTTGCCCATTAAAACTCACAATGACCTATGTCTCAACAATTTCTTGGCCTAACCTGACTCACAAAGTTGTTCTCAACTTCAATGAATAAATAGGTGAGCAGGAATCATTGTTAGTTAGGGGCTGGAATTTGGAGGGGAACAGTTGAGGCCACTGTAGTGATACTGCTGGAGATTATAATAACAAAGGCTAATATGAATATACACCTTTTGAAATCTTAAACAGAGAAAGATATAACTAGACTTTATACTTCTCCATCATGTTTTAAAAGGTGTGTCATGAATGTTGGCACCAATCTGCAAACCATGTGCCAGCAGTTCTCAATCTGCTGAATGAAACCACCATGTCAGGAGTTTATAAGCAACTTGGAGAGGAGTCACTAATAAAAAAAAAAGTCTTTGATCAGACTTGTTTTGGCAAAGTGGGAATGTCAAAACTGATTCTGGATTTCAGTCTTCATTTTGCCTTCATAAAGCCTTAGTGGACACCTACTGTATCACACAGTGTCTGAGAACTTCTCTGATCTATAGATTAAGGTGTAATTATTAAAATTAAATGTAGGTATTTATTTCTTGCTCAGTCCTAAAATTAATGAAACCATTATTTTCATTCATGCAGAAAGATTTCACGTTGTTATTCCTTGATCCTTATAATTCAAATTCAAGTTTGTCACTGACAGTTCAGAATACATATGTATGTAAATATGTATTAAAAGTTTTACAAAGAACATAAAAACTAACACAAACTAATAAAGAATAACAGCCATAAAGGAAGAAAAAAGAAAACATGCAAAAAGAAAAGAAAAAGCAACCTTTGATTTTCTTTGCAGCAAACATAAATACTATTACAAAATTCTCTCTTATTTCCTGATTACAAAAAAGCTAATTGCTCTCTGTTACCCACCTTTTTTTCTAATCATCAAAACTACAAATCAAAACTGCATTTTTCTGTTTCATGCAAAAAAAATTATAAGGGGTTTCTTTTCAGCCATAAGTGTTGATACTGCTTTTTTCTCTAATCAAAAAGGTTAATTTAGTCTTCACCAACCATTTCTCCATTGTGAGTAGTGCCAACCTTACCACATTTTTGATTAAATGACAGCTCAGATTCTCATGATGTAAATTTTGTAATGTCTTTTTAAACACTTAGGAAATGTTATGAGTTATGAAAACAGACTAGGGCGATACCAATATTAATGTATCTGAATGTTATATATCTATATATAACAAGTGATATTTACAAGTTTCAGATTGCAGTTGGAATTCTCTTAATTAAGATTTTTACATTATATCTCTAATGTCATCTCAAACAAAAGTACCAGGGATTAAAGACTCGTGAACATAGTAAATTCCAAAGAAACATGAATAGGATAGCACTGTCAGCACATCAGTAAAATTTGTGGAGAAGATACTTTGATCTCAGAACTGAAGAAGCTTCTTGGATGATAAGCGAAACATTTTCAAGGGGGAAAAACCCCCAATAAAGTCCTGTTGCCTTTTGAAAAGCACCTTTGGGACATATTCTGATCTGCTTTTATGCTTGTCAACCACTCTCCATACAGTACCATTCATTTATGTTCATACAGCTACAGTACATATTGTGAGGAAACTCATACTCAATTCATTTATACACTCAGTCCTCATCTCTGTACCAAAGATGCAATAGGCTATGGATACTTACCAGGCCTGGGAATCCTATGGCAGATTCAGCCATGTGTTCTTGCCTCCTGCTGTCATCTCCAACTAGCTGTAGTAACTCTTTTGCCACTGTCTCCGGCTGAAGCAACTCCAACAACTTCTCACACTTCCTGTCTTCACCACTGTTTCAGAAAGTCAGAGAGAAGACATAATTGCAAAATCTCACTCTTCAGCTTTGTTAGATTTTCCCCCCTCCCAAATAAAGCTGTCTTCTTTCAGCTTCAATATACGTTCTTCACTTTTCTTTGCTGCCTTTCAGGCTAAGCTACTCAGATGATCAGGAAGCTAGTGAAGGAAAAGGGCGGTGTAAAGGGAGGGAGAGAGGGAGGGAATATGTATATAGTTTGCCTCTTACCCTCCTTCCCCTATCGGGGTTAATCTCTCATTCTTCTGGAAAAAGGCTTCAGTGACACTTCCCTCCCCAGGGTGAGGCTTTGGCCTAGCCTTTAAATCCATAGCCTGTTCTTCATTAAACTGTTTATGAGTGCTATAAAGATACACACACTGCATCTTAGCTACTCCGATTACTTGCCAGGTGCTGGTTTTAGCCCTAGATTTTGTACTATTGAACTGGTGACAACCCAATTAGCTTCCCAGGCAAGGGAGGTGTCTGTAATTAAGAGTACCCACCTAATGATTACAAGTTTAGAAAAAAGTGAAAGGGCAGATACTCAACAATTCTGTAAAGTTACAACTATTTAGTGGAAATATCAACAAGAGGAACTAAGCTTTCAACAGTGACTCCTCAGCCCTGTTTGTCTGAAAGACTTCCGTTAAGAAAAAAACACCACACTATAATTCAGAGGTGTCTAAATGTTTTATCTTTAGGAACCAATGATTTATAACAAACGACCCAAATCACTTCCTCCTCATCCATGACAAAATTCTTATTCTACTTCTCCTCCAACCTGTTTCATACCTGTGATGGGGACTGAAACGTGGCTCTTAAGTGAGAATTGGGAATAACTGGTCGAAAGAGGAACCATCAGGTAAAGCTAAATTCCCATCTTCTATGAGAATCTGGAGCTTTTTTTTTTCCTGCTAATCTCCCAACCAGATTGTGACTTCCAAAATTGTCTCTGCAGTTGAGATTTCAGGATATAAAATGAAGGCAGAATCATAATTCTGCCTTTGCAACTGTGGCATAACATTGTTATAATTCTTCAGGGGCTGGAGCTACCTGGATTTCCATTTTTGTACTGATTGGAATTCAACACCTATTCCAGGTATTCCAGTTACCAACATCTCTGTGAACAGCTGTGTTGTATTTGGAGGTCTCTTCATACTGACAGAAAGCGTTGGTACCTAACCTAAACTCTGCCCTCAAGTGGAGGCCACAGTCCTATTGCCACTTAGGGTCAGTTACTAGTCCTGTATGGAACATGGAGAAAATAACTTGGGTCGTGGTTGTCAATTAAGCAGAAACCCTGCACACACTCTGCGGTATGTGAATAATACCTTGTTGACCCATAATCTAGTAAATGAGTTGAAAGGAGGCTTCAAGGACATGTAGGACACTTTGACATGTCACTCATCCCTTCCAAAGTAGTTGGAAGCAATTTGCCAATTACCCTGCTGAATTCAGAATACTGACAACACAAAGTGCCAAACCCTAACTGAACAATTAAAGCTTAGCTGGAAAAAGTTATTCATTTGGTATCCTGTCCATGCTACTGCTGGGCCGGGAGCAATAATATACCCTTACCTCTACACAAAAAGGAAGTGGAATAAATTGCTAGATCCCAGATGTGTATTTATCTGATGCAATGTGTCAAATTCTCAAATGCTTGAACAGTCAGATTTAACAGTATGTACTACAAAAGTTGTGTTGCTAGAAAACCTCATGTGATGCAAAATCATGCAAATGAATAATAAGATTTTGGGGAAAGAATAGGGTTAGAAGCAGACACTCAAAAATAAAAATATTTTTGCAAGCCAAAGCCAACCAATACAATAAAGAATCCCAATATAGTACTTACACAGTTGAGGGAAACATGTCTTCGGGATTTTCAGCTTTTTCTCTGAGGTCTTCACATATTGCTAATAAGTTCTCTTTTATCAAGCAAAATCTTACCTCAGTATCCTCTTTCATCATCAATCCAAACTCTTAATAGATGTTCCATCTCCTCCTTTACGACTTGTCCTAGCAGACTTTGTAGCACTTGACTTGTTCCTTCTAAAAGGTTTGTGGGTATTTTCTCCGCATTTTTTCCAGCTGTCCACAACATCATCTCAGCAGCATGCATGATACTGTATTACATGCTCTTTCAGTTGTTTTCAAAAACTTGAGAATCTAAAAATTTCTCCTCAGTTGATAAAGCTTTTTCTTTTCTTTCTCTACCTGAAGTTTTAACACCAGTATCATTACTTTCAATTATTTTACTATTTTAGCAGGAAACGGTAATAACACCAGGGCTACCCTCAGGAAGGGAATTTTAGAAAAGTCAAGATAATGACTACAATCATGTAGCCTCACCTTTTTTGATCTTGTCTCACAATGCAGATTAAAAAGGGGCCAGGGCTTTGATCACTGGTTTGTGGTCACCATCTTAATTTTTCTTTTAACCTCCATTATGGACACCCTTGAATAACATCAAAAAATGAGAAGAGAGGCACAATAGACGCTGACAAAATAGCCCACATTTAGCAAACTGAGTTGAGTGAGCAGTAAAGAAAGCAGCAATCTGTTAATGTTAAATTGGGTAGCGCTTGGAGTGTTCACCTGCCACGTCTAATTACTGCAAAATTGATTGTCAGGAAAATCATACATACACAAATATGCTTTCTATTTTACAGACATTGTCCTCCTATTTATTAATTGTGTGTAGGTGAATTCATGTTGTATAAACACGTGTTATATGAAAACTGACTGTAATAGGATGAAGCCATTGCCATAATTCCTCTTGTATTAAAAAGCTCAGGGAGATGGCATAACTTTACATCATCAAAATAATGAAGTAGGTAATTATAGACTACTACGTACTACAATCTAAATAAATTGCACAGTTCTTAAGCTATTGGAATTTATTGTGTAATATTGCCAACATTTCTAATCCCCTAGAGTAATCAAAAATTTCTTCACCCCTCACTCCACCCAAAGGAAAAAAAGGGTAGAAAAAAGAAGGAACCCAGACAGAACATTGCTTCTCCCAGTGGAAATCAAGGGGGAAACCGACAGGACACTGGTCAGTTTTACTTTTGACCTTCTCCTTAAAGGACATGCAATGGAATACTTGGGAAGGCTGAAGGTGAGGAGCCAACAGAACAGGGGGACAAGAGTTTCTTCCTGTGGGGAAATGGACTGTTGCAAATGGGTTGACTGGTTGCAATTTGGGTTCACGAAGCTCAGCTGGCAATAAAAATAACTCAGCTTGCAAAACCAACTGAAGTCACAGAAGCACAGGGGTCCAAAATTGCTTCTAAATTGGCACGGAATCACTAAATCCTTTCCTCACCTCAATTTAACCTCAGCACAGACAAGTCATGGCAACATCTATTTTGTGCTACCATATATTCCCAGCCCATGAGCACGAAAGGTTTAAGCCATCCTTAGTTGTGCGGTATCAAAATCTTTCCTCTTTATTCTGACACTGTCTAATAAAACAGTTCCAAAGTCTGTTAGGCTTTTTTCCCCCTTGATGGAAAGTTAGATGACTATACAGAATAGGAACAGAGGCAATAAAGGCAGGTTGTTGATCCTCTAAATTTCTCTTCCCTCTTTTCCCCCCCTCTCTTCTCTTTTTTCTTTCATAGATTTTTTGATTGCCAATTTCCTTATTTGTTATCTTTGTGTGTGTAAGTAACAGGAATTATGTGAAATCATTTATTGGATTGGATTTAGTAACAGGGAACTATTGCTGATAATCCGTAAGAATAGCAATACAAATATTGCATCTCCTAGAGTAAATTCAAGCAAAGGGTACCCATTACCCTGGAAAAACTAAAGAAAAATTAATGGAACTCCCATAGCTATGAGCCTTAGCTAATAATGAGTTCTACTGGATCACTCTGAATGCCTTCCATTTGAACAAAGTCATACATATTTTACTTAGGTCTCAAACCTTAACAATTCCTGTCATGGAAAACTCTGGGAATAACTCCACTTTATGACTTCCTAATTTAGTACTCAGACTCATTTTGTTATATAGAACATAGAAAGACTAGTGCAGTGATGGCGAACCTTTTAGAGACCGAGTGCCCAAACTGCAACCCAAAACCCACTTATGCATCGTCGGGTGCCGGGTGGGCGTGGTCCATTGGGTGGGTGTGGCCATTGGGTGGGCGTGGCTGCGGTGGTAACGGCAGACTGGGTGGGACTAAAAAGTTCAATCAATCAATTCCAACTTTGCAAGATCTTTTTTTTTCCCGCGAGAAGTTGAAATTGACTGATTGAATGTTTTTTTTTTGCGCACGGTGGTAGAGGCCTAAAGCGAAAAGGTTTTATAAAACCCAGCTGAAGGCCCAGGACTGGGGCGACGGTGCATGTGCCCACCGAGAGGGCTCTGAGTGCCGCCTCTGGCACCCGTGCCGTAGGTTCGCCACCACTGGACTAGTGAGACAAGAGTTACCACCAATAGGAAACAGCCCACCCACAAGGACAACACAGCTTTGTTATTGCAATAGGATATCACTTTTTCTGTTTTGGTTACACCAAGGATGAACCAGAAATCAGTCAACTCAGCTGCTGAACACAGATGATGGCATAAGGACACAGAGAGGCAGAAATGATTCTTGGGAGGTATGAAGGACATGTGCCCTTGATATAGTATAGTGGCTGATATAAACAGAGAAATCTAGGGTTTCATTTTTAACTCTGGCCCTGAGGACAGAGTGGTCTTCAGAAAGCTGCAATTTTCTCAGTTTCAGCATTCCTAATATAGGGATAACAGTACAGCTCTTATCTTATATGGCTGTTGATAAAGTATATGAAGCTAATTGTAATGCTAAAAATTTTACTGGTCCAGCTAGGCTAGTCTTCAAAATCAAGTTGTGGATATAATCAGTTGTTGTGGGGGATGGAGGGCCAGTTTCATGTGAATCAATTGCAGAATGGGATGGTTCTGGTTCTGGTCCTGCTTCGTAGTGAGGAACAATGATCTTCAATGTCTTGTGAGATGATATCATCTAAATGGTTACCAGCTGCAACAACAGTGGTAGAAAAAGCTGCAAGGGGAATTACACTGTGATGTTCATGTTTGCTTTTACAAATTTTAATGGTTTTAATAGTTCTCTAAATTTCATAGCTGGAAAAATCAAAAGTACAAT